ACCTTCGGGTGTGCGTGAATATGTCGTTCCACCGTGTAGACTTCGGATGCAGGGCAAAAATGTGGTGAGACTTCCTTGGAATGCAAAATGAAGCGCCATCTGCCATCCGAAGATACAGTGTTACAGCCGAAGGATTCGTAGGTGCGCTGGTCAAGCTACCCTAGTTACTTCAATCTCTGAGCCATCAGACCGATCCGTGCGAAGGCACAAAGCGGGCTGAAAAGCAGGCAGCTATCGAATAGATCAAAACTATGCAGGGCAAAACGGCTGTATCAAGTGAGGCTGAAATTGCATGGACCGGTGGCCTTGTGTGGATGAAACCCTGTCCTGCAGAGCAATTTTGATTGAGGGTGTTAGGCCTGTATCGGGCCTGAGGATTTTAAGGAAAGGCCGAGCTGTCTTCAATGCTGCCACATGCCATCCCAACACCCCGCCCCTGCACTCCAGATGCTTCTGATCCCAACCTTTGGGCCCCTGAGGCCATACCCGCGGCCCTAAATCCTACTTGAAAGTTCATCAATGGTCATAACTGTGGTTTCAAGTAGGACAATGCTTCAGGGTTCAGCCAGAGTTTCAACTGGGCCTATAACGCAGGATCTGTAAGTGGTTGTACCCTGCTCTAAAGGTTTACACTGCCTACCTGGGTAGCCCAGTGGTACCTTTTACACTTTCTTAGGGGGTTATGGGTTCCGGTATAAAGCAACCAACCCAAAACCAGTGCCCTTATCATAACATGGTTACTGGTCTACCAAGGCACTCTTGGCCACCCACGAACCCTCAAAGCAAAGCCAAAGCCAGGTCTTCGAAGGATTGAAGGCCCTGGTGCGCGAGGCAAGGCCTTCGTTGTGTGCTGGGGCCAAACAAAAAAGGGTTTAGGGTTTTAGGGTTTAGGGTTCAGGGGCTTCAGGCTCTAGGGGCCTGTCCCTGACACGGAAATCATCCCAAAGAGTCTTCTGTAGTGTGGGTTTAGGGTTTAGTTTTAGGGTTTGGGGTTTAGGGTTGTTCCCCTTTATGCTAACAGTTCTGTTTTGTGTGTTTGTCCGTGCACCACTCAGAAGCTTGTGGGTGTACGGTTTAGGGTTCAGGGTTCAGGGTTTAGGGTTTAGGGTTTAGGGTAAGAGATATCAAGAACTGCGGCTGTCGGTGACTGTCATGCAAAGCCCCAACCAACTGGTGTGAATCCTCGACCCTTAGCCCTAGACCCTAAACCAGCCTTCCGAAGCTCAGGCACTGACCAGGTAGCCTTAGAAAACGCTTTGTGGCACTGAGGCTGCGGAGACGCACAACCTACACCTTCCCGAGGTTTGCGCGGTCTGTGGGGCTCGAGGTTAAGTGGTTTTGGATTTGTGCAGGTTTGTTCCAGGGTTTGGGTCTTCAGGGTCGACCTTGCTTCTGCCCAGGGGGGGAGGGGGGGGGGTCAGGGTTTAGCTGTACCCCAAGGCTCAAAGAACTCTTATTTTGGGTGAGCAGTTTCGGGGCGGGCCTTTTGAGCACTTGTCAGATCCCGCGAGGTAGTCCCACGGTGGTCTTAAGATCCCTTGGCTTTGGACCAATCCGACAACGATGAAATCTTATGACGTGTTGGCTGGGCGAGACACTTAACCCCACTTCAAACGTAGCTTTTTTACCCACCTTCGTTGTAAGCCTCGCGAGCCTCCGAACGATATCAATGATCTCGGTGAGAGAGAGAGAGAGAGAGAAACACATTAACGACGTCATGCAAGGGGATCACTTCAAATGTGTTTGCATCCTGAAACCCAGGTTTTGCAAGCAAGTTTGCTCTGAAAAGATCCGTGTGCGACATAGCACCCCCGAGCATCTAGAATTCCTGCTACGTTGAACCCTTTAAGCCCTGAAGAATTGGACATGTGAATTCCGACCGAAACAAACTATGGCAAGCTGTTAAACAACGCAGCCTTAAGCACCAAAGCACCCTAAAGACTGGTATAGTTGCAATGCTCTTCGAACCGCATTGTGCAAAACCCCAAACTCCTGAAGTGCGGAGTGCACACAGGCCGGACAGCCAGGTGCCAACCTCAAACGAGCTCTAGCTTTCCTTGTTTTGAGGGTGCCGAGGCTACTGTACATGTACAGATTGTACAGCCTGCAAGGTTAAAGAGTTAGGGCCCGACTTATGGGTCCGGGAGAGGAGTCCTAAATTTATGTTTAGGGTTTAGGGTTTAGGGTTTAGGGTTTAGGGTTTAGGGTTTAGGGTTTAGGGTTTAGGGTTTAGGGTTTCGTTTGCAAAGGTTCCTGGTCGTTTGTCCACTCCATGCAGTTTCCGCTTTCGACACGTCGCATTGGACGCCTCACTTCGGGAAAGGTGTTCTTGCCCGTGCAGCTGCCCCACGCCCTATCCACAATCGACCCTGTTCTAGCGCGTTATCTCTGGCGGTCTGGGGCGGGCAAGGAGCTAATCATTGAGCTTTTCATGTCAAACCCAGCTTCCAATCCCGATTTGGTACTGCTGTCGGTGTTACACTCTGAGTTTTGCCATCAAGAAGCCGTAATCAAGGCAGCGGCATGCTGATCGACGATGGCTTTTGGAGTCGGATCTTCCAGGCGATCGGAGTTGGGTCTAGGGCAGGTAAAATTGTGCCCTCACCTTGGTTGCGCTGGATGTCCGTCTGCCGCGAGTGTGTGACCGTGATAGAGTTAGAGAGAGCGACAGAGAGAGCGAGAGAGAGAGAGAGTAACCCTAAACGCTAAACCGGAGAGAGTAGCCATGGAGAACGGCTTGCTTTTTTTGCGAGGAGATCGAGGCATCACCCGCACAGAGCTACAACCTTCGGCGCAACGCTGCCTCGATGCGGGCTCGGGGGCCCAGAACGCGTGCAGACCAGTATGAATATGCATATGAAGCAGGGTTTATATTACTGTTTTGGTGAGTGTATATAAGGTTCCTTTTTAATATTGGTGAGTGTATATAAGGTTCCTTTTTAAAAATTGGTGAGTGTATATACTGGGTGTCCTTTTGGGGGTACAAGAAATCTATACCCTACTTCGTATACACGTAGAATTCTGTGATTGTATGTTTGCAGATAGAGAGTGCTAACACGCATTTATGTTTATTGATCTGCTCATGTAAAAATTATTCTGGAGTTCATGTTGAGGTTGTCTCTTCTCGTCGTGCGAGCAACAAGAACCACAGCCAACGTGAAATATCCGACCCAGCTGGGTGATCTCGTGATGTCTTGCCCTTGCCAAAGTAGAGTAGATGTGAAGCTTATCACTGAGATGAGAAAGCCTGCGACCCGTCCCTTCGCTTGACGGGCTTGAGAGCGTTTCGGAGTTTGCAACATGCTTGTTCTCTCGCATCGTTACCACATGGAAGCTTACATGTCTACATACCCCAAGCGCTTATTGCACCATCTTTCTAGGCAAAATGGAGTATAGTCTTCCTGCCGCAAGCCACAAGGCACGGCAGGGCTCAAGGAGCTTGAAGAACCTCAACAACCTGGTGGGGGACCTTGGGGACCTCTGATTTGGTTTAGGGTTTAGGGTTTAGGGTTTAGGGTTTAGGGTTTAGGGTTTAGGGTTTAGGGTCTAGGGTTTAGGGTTTAGGGTTTAGGGTTTAGGGTTTAGGGTTTAGGTTTTAGGGTTTAGGGTTTAGGGTTTAGGGTTCAGAAGGGTTTAGGGTTTAGGGTTTAGGGGTTCACTTAGCGGATGTTCTCGACCCTTCAGGGTTTGACTTTCTTGCCGGGCCGGGCTGTTGGGGGCTGTTGAGATGCACACTTCTTCGGGCTACATGTCACTGCTAGTCCCACTGAAGCCACTGAAGGCCCGGAAACCCTGCGGCGACTTGGGATAAGGAGAAGATGGGGATTTAACGTTGGTGGGTTTAGGACGTGCGGCAAGCTCGCCGGGAATGAGCATGGGTTGCAGCTAAACCCTAAACCCTAAACCATAAACCCTAAATCTTAAACCCTAAACCCTAAAGCGTTTCCTAAACCCTAAACCCTAAAGTGTTTAGGGTATAAAATGGGCAAGCGGAAGCCTTGCCTTCCGTGTGCGACGAATGTGAGTGAGAAAATGGGTAAGCTCCCCAGATAGTGCTTCGGGTTTAGGGTTCAGGGTTTAGGATTTAGAGGCACATGACAACCTAAAGCCTAAACTCTAAACCCTAAACCCTGAAATGAGCCTGTGCCAGGTGAAGGATGTGCTCATCCATTGGGCTGTGCGTGAGGCGCTGGCGCACCGGTTTCCAATCGGGTGATCGAGCTTTTGCGGTTGGGTGCATTGTGTAGGGAGGGGGGGGGGGGGCTTATGTGGTCTCAATCTAGGCTTCCAAGTTCCAGCGTGTAGAGACCTGGAACCCTAAACCCTGAACCCTAAACCCGAAATCCTAAACTCCTAATCCCTAAACCCTCAAGGGCCCGGTGCTTCGAGCTTTGCATGCCGATGGTGCTCCATCTTGGAAGCGAGCAGCCGATCAGTCCCAGATCGCCTGCCTCAGGGTTCAGAGTTCAGGGTTTAGGGTTTGGGGTTTAGGGTTTAGGGTTTAGGGTTTGCTCGGCGAGGTCGCGCACTGGTAAGCGCGCGGTAGTATGCAGCCATGCCTACACCAAGACCACCCAAACACGACTCAAAACCCAACCAGCTAAGCCGATCTGAAGCGTCCCAGCGAAAGTTTAAGTTTTGCCGCTGGGACGTCTTCGGCGTGAGAACCTTCTCATTACCAAGGCGCATCGCGAAAACCTGTTGCCACAAAGATGCCTTGTTCTGTGGAGGACACTGGGGCGTGCCTAGTGCATGGCGAAAGCATTTTGGCACAAAGATGTGCTGTGAAGGACACTGAAAGCATGCCAGCGAAAGTTTTGCCTGTCGGCTTCGGTCAGACCCGCGGTGTCCAAGAACCACCTCCCAAAGGGGCCTCCCAGGCTTTTGTTTTGGGCTATCCTGGGATTGTGTCAGGGGCCATAACCACCGAACCGGGCACCAAGGCTGGCATGAAATGGCTGGAGGGTTTAGGGTGGGCGAGTCTTAGCTCAGACGCGTGCCTGGCGGGCGATGCTGGGCTGCGCCCGCCGACCCCAACAGAGGTGACAGGGATGAATTTAGGGTTTAGGGTGCATGGTTTGGGGCTTGAGGTTTGGTTTTGAGTCAGGGTTTCGTAAACAGGTACACCCACAACCGATGTCTTCTCGAGTTTTGCCGGCGTCTGGAACGCAAGCCAGTGATCGTGAATGTAGGGGTGGGGGGGGGTTGGGAGTTTAAAAAGTGTTCCCCACGACGCGGAATCCAAATCAATGCCAGCAGCATTCATCCGGCGGACGTATCCCGAACTAAGCTGCGCTACAATACTCCAAAAGAAGCAGCTTGTAGGGGGCCTGTCAGTTTGCTGTTCATAGCAGCTGACTTTGTGGACGCTTACAGACATCAGCTGGTTGATAGTCACAATGCTTGCATGCAGTCACGCTCTGTTGTCGTTGTGTACGAAGAAGTAGCATGGATTCGCAAGGCTTTCAGTCGTAGCCTCGAGTGCTAGCGTCTGAGAGTGTTACTAAGACTTTCCGGCCAGGACATCATAGCCCGGATGCAAAAAGGGGGCCTCCGAAGAATATGTTTTGCCACGAACTGCGCGTGTGCACCTCACGAAATCACCAGGGAAAAGGCGCGGCAACCGGGTAGATACAACCCGGGTTGCATGCACATACCTTAGCTAAGAGGCAACACAAAAAATCACTTGTGCTTAAACCCTAGTAAACCCTAAACCCCAAAACCAGGTGGCGAGCTTCCTCCCTGCGGGTCCGAGCTGTGTGGCCGCCACCTGAGCTACTAGTATGGCTCAGAAAAGGATCTGTGGTGGATCAAGACAGACGGGACTTGGACTTAGATGGGTTTAGGGTTCAGAGGGCTCCTACAAGTTTAGGCAGAATGGCTCAGAAGTTCAGAGCAGCGCTCAGGGTTTGCGCGGGGTTTGGAGCTCATTCCGGGGGGCCCGTTCTAGCCGACGCTTGTTAATCCAACACTCAACCCCAAAGCCTCAACGGCTGCGTTTCACAGCGCGCTAGACTTTCGGGCTCAAGCAAGATCCCCTGATTCGCAAGCTTTGGGGTTCAGTTGTTTGGGTTGCATTTGCTTGTGGGTTGAAGGGCGTGTTGTGAATTTGAATTTCAGGCCTAGCGGCACGGGCCGGCCCCCGCCCCCCAAAGCACGAAACCTTGAACCTTGGCACTGTCTTCTCTTTCCCGTGTCTTTGTCCTCTCCTTCTCTCTGTCTCTCTTTCTCCTGCCTTCGCCCCCCCTCCCTCCCCCCCCCTCCCCCCCCGGCGCGCGCGCGCGCGCGCGCCGCGCGCGCGCGCGCGCACCCGCATCAGGAGCATCAGTGGGGTTGGTTTGGGGGCCTTAAAAGCATTCTATGCATGCGTTTTGCCTTCGAAAAACCTTCAGAAAACGCTGTAAACACGTGTTTTTGGGCTTGGGAAGCCTTTTGGGACCCAGGAAAGGGAGCATCATGAGCATCAGCGGCCTCCCCCAGGCCATCCAAAACCCCCTTAAACACGCCGATTGTATGTGCTTGAACGCTTGCGTGCCCACGAAACCCCCAAAAGCAAGACCCCGAATGCCCTTAAGGGCATTCGGGGTCCTGCTGTTCGGGTGTTTTGTAGGCACGAAGCCGTTCGAGCGCGTAAAATGAGCGATTTTAGGGCGTTTTTACGTGGACCCACAAAACACTCGGTATTTACGAGGTTTTCTGCTGTTGGAACACCCCCCCAAACCGAGCATCATGAGCATCAGCTGGGTCTCTGGGCCGTGGGCCCGGACCCCCCCACGAAGCCCAAGAGAAGCGATGGCTCGATGATGCGCCCGGACCCCGCGCATCAGCAGCATCAGCAGACCCCCCCCCGGACGTGGGTTTCGATGATGCGCACTTTGGGGGCGGGTCAAGGGCAACAGGGGTGGGGGTCGGAGGCACGCGTGAAAAACCTCATAAAAACACGGTATTTACGGTGATTTCAGCGTTTTTCAGCGTTTTTTATTGCCTTGGGCCCGCGGGCCAGGGCTGCTGATGCTCATGATGCTCGCCTGGTTTTGGGCTTCCGGTACCCCCCCCAACCTTGAAAAACGTGGTTTCGGCCTGGCGCGCGCCCCATGTGAAAAGCTAGGGCCGATGATGCGCGCCCGTGAGGGTTTAATGGGGTGCTGCGGGTGTTTTGTGGCCTCGGTTTTTCGTACAAACCCATGGTTTTTACGACGTTTTCGTGCTTTTCGCACCACCGCGTGTTGCGTCCCCTTGGATGCCGTTTTGGAGGCCTCCCAAGGGCCCCGCGCGAATTTGAAGCAATTTTGGGCGGGGTCGGCGGCTCGGGCGCTCGCCCCTTAAAGCTTTAGTGCGACGCGGGCTCCGCCCTGGACCATGGGCGGCGCGGGGGCCGGATTTAAGAGCCTCCGGCTCAAGCCGCCGACCCCGCTGGAGCATAGTTGAAAGGTTTAAACGCGTTCGTTAGGTCACAGGATGCCAAAGTTGGTGGGGGGGGGGGTAGGGGGCAGGGGGGGGGGGGACCCCCCCCTACCCCCCCCCCCCCGCGTTTTGGGGGGGTAAGGAGGGAAAGAGGGAGGTTTTCACCTCCTTTTCCCCTCCAACACGCCGCCAGGGTCGGCGGATTTTCAGGCTGAACCTTAAACGCTAAGCCCTAAACCCCAAACCCTCAGCCCTTAACCCTATAAACCCTAATAAACCCAATAAATGAACCCTGGAAACCCCAACCCCTAAAGAGGGCTTGGCTTTAGGGCCCTCCAGGCATCCGGTACCTCAGCGGAAGCCGAGGTCTCAGCGCTGGACGTTGCCAGTGGCCGTGGTGGCGATCAGCTCAAGTTCGTGAAGGCCTTGTCGGCCGCCCTGGGGTTTAGGGTTCAGGGTTCAGGGTTCAGGGCTCAGGGCTTAGGGCTTCGGGCTTAGGGCTTAGGGCTTAGGGCTTAGGCGTCCGGATGTTGGCCTTGCTACTCCGAACTCAGGCGGCTCAATACCGAAGATCAAAAGTCACCCAAGAAGACTCCTTTGAGAGCTGACCCCACCCACCCTGTTAGGGTTTAGGGTTTAGGGTACCTATATAGTATATATTTGGGCCCCAAAGCTACTTTCTAGCAACCCCTGCATATAAGGCCCCAGTATATACTATATGGGTACACAGACCCTTGGGCTAAGGCTCAAGCCGTTCGTCAGGGTGTCGGGTGTCGGGTTTCTGCGGTCTTTTGGCGAAGGTCAGGGTTTTTTGGGGTGTTAGTTGCATTTCAGGGCTTTGCAATGGTGGAGGGGGTGCAGTACATTATGGAAGGCAGCGAACCGAGAAGTCTGCCTTAAACCCTAAACCCTGGAAGCCCCTCCTGTTGCCGAAGGCGGCCGAGGTCTGTGGCTGCAGGCCAGAAGATCTTCAGTTTTGGGTTTAGGGGTTTAGGGTTTAGGGTTCAGGGTTCAGGGTTCAGGGTTCAGGGTTCAGGGTTCAGGGTTCAGGGTTCATTCAGAGTGCACAGGGTTGGGATCAAGGCTTGGGAGGTTCCGCCTTCTACTAATTCCTTATTACGGACGTTTTTGTATAAGGGGGAACATCCCAAATCAAGGCGGCTCTAGACCCTACAGCATGCCTCTTCGTGCCCCTCTTAATCCTTAGAAGATGTTCCCACGACCCTTAGTCCTCCTCCAGAGTTTCTTCGTTTCAGCATTCGGTCTCACACACTAGGTTCACAAACGAAACCTTGGTCTCTGGGCAGCGGATTGCGCTAGGGAGCTCAAGTCAAGCCTCAGGGCGACTGCACAATTAGGGCTCAAGGTCATGGGACACGAAGGTGACCACCGTTGACTTGAGGATAGGGACCTAAACTCCAGGAACTGACCCGGCACCCTACCCAAACTTGAGATCTGCCGGATCATCTCATGTTCATTTTGACTGATGGCGGGATAGCGGGCCGGAGGGCAGTAGATGTAGAGCTTGAGGGCAACTATTGCATTTTTGGGGTGACCGGGGCCTGAGCCCCATATCGGGCAAAGGTCTGAAGTTCAGGGTGCATATTTGGACAAACCCTCAACAAAGGCACCAGTCCGTCTTTGTGGGTTTAGGGTGTAGGGTGGTAGGATGTAGGATTTAGGGCTGGTGTTGTCCCTGGTTTGAAGCATTGGAGGATCTGCAAGGAGTCAGCGCGTTGCGATGCTGCAGGGGATGAGTGGACAACACAAGTGTGCCCCGATGTTGGTTCTCAAACTCTGACAACGACGTGGTGGTGGTTGCGCCCAGGGTACACATTCCATGAACGTCACTTGGGTGCCGTGGGGCGTCATCCGACTGTTCACTTCCCCTTTCGCCTCGCCCGAACAGGTCAACACATAATTTAAAGGACGTTTTGCAGGAATAGGTTAGAGAAGGATGCGGGATCACCACGTGGCACGGCCCAAGTCCCGCGAGGATTTGCTACACGGCCATTGACATTGCGAAGGAGCCCTCTCCATGTAATCAAGGCGTCGAAATAGTTACTTATAGCATTCTTATGGTCCCTGTATAATTATACTACAATAACACCCCAAAACCATATTCTAATTCTTCAGGCCCATGTTTTTGGGATGCATTGCTCGTGTGGGGCCATGTGCAAGGGCAAGGGACCAGTTACTGATTGCAGAGTAGCCACACGAAACCCCCCTGCTGCGATCATTCGCCAGGCTTGTGATTCGAACAAGTCCGGAATCGAATGTTGGAAGGAGCACGTATCGGCATCCTCAAAGGAAACGTAGTCCCGAAGAACACTGGTCGAGGGCTGAACGGTGTCGAAGGGAAAGTGCAGACTAACTTAGCTTACCATGTTAGCGGCAATGCTCAACCAAACAAACTTGAGGGGTTCTCACCGATGAGACCCGGACTCGGACCCGACTGGTCCCGGACAAGGACGTGGCCGGACCCGGACCCGGACTCGGACACGGATCGGACCCGGACACGGACCTGGACACTCTTACCATCAGAAGTTGCACAGTGACGCGCAAGTTTTGTCTGCAAAGGCTGTCGATTTATTGAGCTCGCTTCTTACATGAGCTGGTTTATTCGGATCTATGGAGGAATGTATGCAGAATTGGTGCCCTGACCAACGGCGACCTTAAGTCCAGGGTTCACAGCTAAAGCGCCCCAACCCGAGAGAACGACCCCTACTGGTACCCAATCTTTGTTATGGGATCTATGCTCCCCAAGGCTTGCTAGTGTCAAACCCCAGCGACCTGAACCCTATGAGCCTCTGCAGCCCCTGAAAAAGGCAAACGAGCCTGAAGCCCCGGGAAAGAGACGGAAAGCCAAAAGCCAAAAAACGTCCTGAAGCCTCTGAACCCCAAACTTTGGGGGGGGGCTCCTAAACCCCGCACCCTGACCCCGACCTGAACCCTAAACCCTAAACCCCAAACCCTAAACCCTAAACCCTAAACCCTTGGGTTTACAAGGGCCAAGTGGAGGAAGCAAGGAGCCGCCTCCGCCGGCACCTAAGGGGGCCCCCTATAAGTTTAGGGGTTGGGGGGGTTGGGATGTTCCCCCTTATGCTAGCAGTCCTTCATAGGCGGGGTTTAGGGTTTAGGGGTTTAGGGTTTGGGGTTTAGTGTTTAGGGTTTAGGGATTCTAGTGCGCCCTATTATAAGCCCTATTGAGGACTGTTAGTATAAGGGGGAACATCCCGAGTTGGAGGTTTTGAAATGTTGGGCTTGCGGCAAGAGTTTCTGGTTTGGGTTTTGGTGTGTACTTCGCGGTTGGAGAGGTTGGAGCAGCTGTTCAGGTTTGGAGATGATGGGCTTGGGCAGCTTCGGGCGTATTCTGTTAGGCTTAGGGTTGCATTCGCTAATGGATGACTCCAGTTACTTCTTGCAACCCCGGATATGACAGGCACCTCCAAGCAGGCCCTGAACCCAAACCCTCCAGCTCAAGCCCCAAGCGGCCAAATCCAGAAGGGTAGCAACAAGAAGCTTCCCAGACCCAAAGCCTCGACTTCAATGCCGAAACTTTCGGGCTTAGGGCCTATAGGCTTATTGGGTCTTATACGGCTTAGAGGTCTCATAGGGCTTCGGGCTTATCGGGCTTATAGGGCTTATAGGGCTTAGAGTTTCGGGTTCGGGATTTAGGGTTTCGGCGGGTTTAACCGCAGCTCAGGGCTTTGGAATTAATCGCAGCCCCAAGGAAACTGGGCAAAGTAGAGGCAGGACAGTTGATGGCATTCCCATCTTGGTTCCCATCTAAGCTCAGGAAGCAAGAAGGGTACCCTAGGTCCCTAAACCCTAAACCCTGAACCCTAAGTAAACCCTCAAACCGAGTTAAGTCCTGCAAGAATCGTCGTTGCCGAGCCTCATCTACCAACCATGTCAAGGCCCTCTCCATACACCCTGAACCCTGAAGCCCTAAACCTTGGGATGTTCCCCTTAGACTAGCAATCCCTAATAGGGATGAAATCCCCCCGATTATGTAAGGAGCTGTTCGTATAAGGGGAAACATCCCAACCTAAACCAACCCTAAAGCCCAAACCCTTAATTTTGTCTTACACAGACTATCGGACCTTGCCTGCCTCGCGAGACTGAGCGACTAAACCTTAACCCCCGAACCTCCAACACTTTTAGTACCACTATCGGCCCGTGAGGCCAGAGACTCGAGCGCGACGCAATTCTGAAGCGAACGCCTCCTGTCGGGAGACGACGCAGGGGTTTAGAGGTGTGGGGTTTAGGGTTTGTGGTAACAAGGGTTTGGGGTTTAGGGTTTAGGGTTGAAGGGTCGGTTCGCAAGTCCAGAAGTGCAGGAGTTAGCGTTTCCAGGATGTCTCGTGTGAGGTTGTTTAGGCATTGGGGCACGGGGGGGTTTAGGGTTTGGGGAGTTTAGGGTTTAGGGTTTAGGGTTTAGGGAGTTTAGGGTTTAGGGTTTAGGACCGAAAGGCTGTTTTCCCTTTGCTTCAGCGAGGCAGATACCGGGCATGATGCCTTCAGCACGCACATGCTGCTTGTAGGTAATTCGGTTTAGGGTTTAGGGTCTTTGAACCGAGTCAGACCCCACTTTCTGCAAGACAAGCTGCCAGATTCAGGGCCAGGACTTGCCTGGCTTCCCTCAATGGTTCTAGATGACAAGTATAGGGTTCATCAACGGCCTAGACTTCTTTAGAAAATCCACCTGTTTATAAACAAATATGAGAGCAACTTGCAGGACATGAAAACAAGTTGAACGTTTTGATGAATCTAAACAACATCAACCACGGTGATGTTTGAATGCCAACGTGTCCATTGGTTTATGATTACCTATACCAAAAAAAGGGATGTAGAGACGATGAAAAGTTTTCCAGGAGGTTTTGGCTGCCAGGACACGAAGTGGTGGGCAAAGCTCGAATTCCAGAAGATTCGGCAGAGACAGTCTGAGAGGCGCTGGGGCAGGAAGAATTGGACACCAAAAGGAGGGGCGAAAGCTTTGAACTTGTCTACCAACTTGGGGCAAGCTAACGGGTGTCGTGTTCCTGTCTTCCTGCAGTGGTGGCAGACGTGACATGTCTGGACCATGTTCTGTAAATTCCAGAACGTCACCCCCTACGCGATAGCATTTTTTTTGGGGGTGGGGGGGGGGGGGGGGGGGGGGCTGCAGATTCATGGCCTGTTTTTGTTTTCCTGCGGGCCGGCAATGTGAGCACTATAGGGCCTCGAAAACTTACAGGCCAGTCTAGGCCTCAACAGGTGCCGTGCAAGGGCGGGATAGGGGGGGGGGGGGGGGGGGGGGGGGGGGGGTGGGGGGTAGGGATAAGGGGTCTCATTTTTGGGATACTTCTAATCCAGCTTGCCCATGAACCTTCAAGTAAACCCCAAGCCAGTCCAACTGCCGAGGTTGCTGGATGCCCGATTCTTTGTAGGCGCCCTTCTTAGGCGCCCAAATCTCAATTTGTTCTGGTAGGGTTGGGCTGTTTGTGCTTGGGCTTGGGTCTGAGGATTTCAGGTTCAGGCCTTCAAGGCTTGAGATACTGAGTGAGCCCGAAGAGTCAGAGAGGCGCGCCCAAGATGCAATCTTAAGAGGCCACCAGCTTGTTTCATGTATCGGAGTTGCTCAAAGGCACATGAAACACAAAGAAAGTGGTCAGGATTTGGGACCTCTTCTGGCGTGTGAGGTTTCGGGTCCAGGTGAGGAATCTCTGTGCCCGGCACTCTGCGTATTCACAAGGATGCGTACGCCAGTCAAGCAACAACATCGCCATATTCATCTGCCGGCAAGCACCCCTAGGCTCTGACAAGGTTTTAGGAGCGTCAGCAACTGCATAATGAAGCCTTCTGGAACAACAGACTCAACGAAACCAAGCATAATCAGACAGCTCACGCTTTCGACCTCTGCAAACCCTTCCGCCAAATTCCGAAACCTTCTTGGCACAGCGTTGCGAAGGCGACGTGGCCCAGATGGCGCCTCAAAAGCCCCGCGCCAAGGTCTTTAGGCAGATTTTCGACGCATCTGCGTCCAGGTTTAGGGTTTAGGGTTTAAGTTTGTGTTAGTCTACCCTACTTCTGAACCCCCGTACTTAATCACTACCGAGAACTGCCGAGAAGCTTCCAAGTCGGCAAACTATCTATGTGGTTGGTAATGAGCCCCGAAGCTCCAGCAGAAACTGGCCCGGAATTAACAGAATGAACACCCAAGATTCAGCTTGAGGAAGCCGAAAACATCAGGTTCGGGTTTGGAAGAGACAACCTTGACGACTCCCTTCCCCCCCCCCCCCCTCCCCCGCCCCAAAACACCTCCCCCGAGCATCAGGCCTTGGCGGGCGCGGGGAGCATCATGAGCATCAGCTGCTCAGGTTTTGCCCGAACGGGCCACCAAGCAAGCATCATGAGCATTAGCTTGCCAGGCTTTGGCCGGGCCGGGGCCACCAGGGAGCAAGCATCATGAGCATCAACTGCTCAGTTTTTGTCCCGACCGGGGCCACCAAGCGAGCATCATGAGCATCAGCTGCTCAGGTTTTGCCCCAGAACGGGCCACCAAGCAAGCATCATGAGCATCAGCTTGTCAGGCTTTGGCCGGGCACAGGCCTCCGCAAGCGAGCATCATGAGCATCAGGTGCTTGGTGGCCCCGGCCCGGCCAAAGCCTGGCAAGCTGATGCTCATGATGCTTGCTTGGTGGCCCGTTCTGGGGCAAAACCTGAGCAGCTGATGCTCATGATGCTCCCCTGGTGGCGCGGCTGATGCTCATGATGCTTGCTTGGTTTGAGCAGCTGATGCCCATGATGCTCGCTTGGTGCCCCGTTCTGGGCCAAAACCTGAGGAGCTGATGCTCATGATGCTCGCTTGGTGGCCCCGCCCCGGCCAAAGCCTGACAAGCTGATGCTCATGTTGCTTGCTTGGTGGCCCGTTCTGGGACAAAACCTGAGCAGCTGATGCTCATGATGCTCCCTGGTGGCCCCGGCCCGGCCAAAGCCTGACAAACTGATGCTCATGATGCTTGCTTGGTGGCCCGTTCTCTGGCAAAATTTGAGCATCAGCTGCTCAAACTTTGACCTGGCACGCGCCACCAAGCAAGCATCATGAGCATCAGCCGGGCCAGCAGGGGAGCATCAGGCATCAGCTGCTCAGGCCCCAGAACGGGCCACCAAGCTCAGGCTTTGGCCGGGCACGGGCCACTGCAAGCGAGCATCATGAGCATCAGGTGCTTGGTGGCCCCGGCCCGGCCAAATCCTGACAAGCTGATGCTCATGATGCTTGCTTGGTGGCCCGTTCTGGGGCAAAACCTGAGCAGCTGATGCTCATGATGCTCCCCTGGTGGCCCCGGCCCGGCCAAAGCCTGGCAAGCTGATGCTCATGATGCTTGCTTGGTGGCCCGTTCTGGGGCAAAACCTGAGCAGCTGATGCTCATGATGCTCCCCTGGTGGCGCGGCTGATGCTCATGATGCTTGCTTGGTTTGAGCAGCTGATGCCCATGATGCTCGCTTGGTGCCCCGTTCTGGGCCAAAACCTGAGGAGCTGATGCTCATGATGCTCGCTTGGTGGCCCCGCCCCGGCCAAAGCCTGACAAGCTGATGCTCATGTTGCTTGCT